ACAAAACCAGTCATAAGTCGCTGGGGCATATTTTTAGCAATAGCCAAAAATACATTGTATGGGTCAAAATGATTGATTTTTCTTTTATGCCAAAAATTATTAGGATATTAGGTAAAGATCATGTTTTGTAAATTTCCTACTATCAATATATTAAAACTTAATTTTTGATTAGTAATATGCATTGCTAAGAACTTAATTTGGAGAACTTTAAAGATGATTTTCTCAATATTTAGATTTTTTTGCACCCTGAGATTCCAGATTTTCAAATAATTGTATCTCGACCAAATATTGTCTTATCCTAACAAACCATACATCAATGGAAAGCTTATTTATTCTGATGTATAAATCTCAATTTTGAGAAATTGACCCTTATGACTGGTTTTGTGATCCAGGGTCATATATACAGTATATATATATAAGTACTGTGCAAAAGTCTTGTTGGTGAAAATACTAATGGCCTAAAACTTTTGCACAGTATAGTGTGTACATATATATACATGCCGTTAGTTGTCCATAAACCACCAAAAAAATATGTTTTTCCACCCTATTCTGCTTGGATGAGTGCTCTAAACCCATGAATGCGGTCCCTGTTGCCGGCCTGGCAAGAGTCGGCCACCTTCCACTCCGAGCTGAGGTGGGATACATATAGTTTGGCTGTGGGGCTTGAGGGGGAAAGTCAATCCACACTAAAAGCTTAGTTGCTGCCTTTCAGCATAGAGCCAAGAGGCACATAGAAAAGCATGAAATAAACATTAATGGAAGTGGGTTAGGGGAGATTTATTTAGGAGGCTTTTTGGCCTTGCCTAAGGGAGCCATGCACCATTTTATTCACTCATACAAGCACACAGGTAAACAAACAAGGTAATTTATGGCAGTCTTCAGAGGTGGTAGTGTTTGAAGTAAGGCAATTGTTTTTCACACCGTCTCACAGAATTTTAAACATTTATCATATACTGACTGGATGATGTGCAGAATCTCTTCTCTGGGCTTCTCTGTTGGAATTTCATTAAAGTAGTTTTGTAAAGTAAAATACGGAAGAGGATTGGGGCCAAGCAGTAATAAAAAAATAAAACCATCTAGAGATTAAAGTCATTATAATGTGAGATTAAACTCAGTATATTTAAAAAAAAATGTTGCAATAAAATGTTGAAAATAAAATCGTGTTTCGAGAAAAAGCTCGTTAAATTTCGAGAAAAAAAGTCTAAAAATTTTGAGAATAAACTCATTAAATTACGAGAAAAAAAAGTTGTTGTGTTTCGAGAAAAACTCATTAAACTTTGAGGAAAAAGTCTAAATAAAATGATAAGCATAACCTGATTAAATTTCGAGAATGTAGTCTAATTACAATTTTGAGAAAAAAACTCATTAAATTACAAGAATAAAGTTGAAATAAAATGTTGAAAATAAACGCATTCGTGTCATTTATTTGAACGTTTCAATCAATGTCTGCAGTGGAGTTGGTCCTAGGGAGCAACTAGTCTCATTTTTATGAAGTAACTGGTTATTTAGGATATTTTACATAGAACAAAAATAATGTAACCATCTGTACTGCCATTAATGGCAATGCTGTATGGTTTTAGATTAGGGCAGCGGCTATTTGCACTGAGTGAAAATAGCAGTAGATATTGTTTACACTAAGTACAATTAGCCATAGATGCTATATTACACTAAGTGAAATTAGCGATTCTATTTACTCTATGTAAAAGTTGCAGATCTTTGCAATAAGTGTAAATAGTAATTATATGCTATTTATTTTTTATAAATTGTGACAGATACTATTTGCACCTCAGTATTGTTGCATGCAATAATAACATAGAGCGTAAATTATTTTATTTATTAAAATTTTTAATTAGACGCTGCCTTATTGGGACAACAAAGCCCTCCCTATAGCCTACCTACTCCTAAACCTACCCAATTAAAATATCATTATTAAACACTCGTTAGGCAAGTGATTTCCACTTTTACGATGTGATATTTGATGAAAAAGGAAGAAGAGTGAGTTTGGCAAAAGTCAAAAACTCTGGTCGATCACATCATATGCTACATCCACGAGCATTACTCTCTATGACACGCCACTGCAGACACTGATTAACACTGTCCAACGAGATAAAAGGAGCATGACACGAGCGTTTATTCTCAGCATTTTATTTTGACTTTTTTTCTTGAAACAAGTTTATTTTCAAAGTATGAGTTTATTCTCAACATTTTATTTTGACTTTTTTCCTCAATTTAACGTGTTTTTTCTCGAAACACAATGACTTTATTCTCAAAAATGAGTTTATTCTCAACATTCTATTTAGACTTTTTTTCCGCAAAAAACTGAGTTTTGTGAGTTGACTTTATTCTCGAGATGGTTTTATTTCTTTATTATTGCTTGGCACAATACTTTTCCGTAGTAATGAGGTTAAAGGGAGTTTTTACTCTATTTTTCTAACACTGTATTGTCAGAACATCTAGCGGATACTATTTATTTGTATGGAAAACTAAACAAGGAACATATTTCTACAAGAGAGAAATGCTATCCTTTCTGTATAGTGAAATATGGGATGTTGCTGGGGAAACTTGTGTTCGTTCTTGGCTTTGAGGACAGCTGGAGAGTGAGACCGAGAGAGAACCAACAGAAGGTAGCGAATAATGTTTTATCCAGGAACTTCTCTCCACCCCAGCATGTGAAGCAGAGGTGACACAGGTGACAAAGAAGCGTGAAGAGTGTACTTTGAAAGTTCTTACAGAGGTAACGGAAAAGAGAGAGAGATTGAGGCAAAGAAAAAGCGAGAGGAAGAGTTGAAGGAATTGCTTTTTGGAGGAGAAGCCGGGACTGATATTGGACTGTGCATGTCAGCCGTTGTCAATGTGACAAATCTTTGATGTGGAAATAATAGCCGGTGAGGGCTTGGCCCAGTCCAGTGGAACTACGTATGACTGTGATGAGCTGTTGTCAAACACACCCACATATACTCAAATACTTTCTCTCAGGCGCAGGCAGTATTTTTGGCACTGTATCCAATTGAGACCAAACCACAAAGCTCCATTGCTTTGATTTTGCTATATCCACATTCCTCGTCTTAAGCAGAGCTTGCTCAAATACAAGATATTAAAGTATGTGTGGTTGAAAACGTTACACTACCTGTTGAGGATTTTTGCTTCATTTTTCGGCTTAAAAGAAACAGGAAGTCATTTTGCACTTGTCAAAAGAGCTCATAAAACTCAGCCCCAAGGACAAAGATGTGCGCACATTCAGACACTATTGCAGATATTCAGACTCAAACACAGTTTCCATTTGGGATTTTAGGGCTCCCGCTGTGAATGGATGGGACTGTGAGAATAGATTATAGGTTGTGTAAGCGGTAGCAATATTATAGGCCAGCACTGAGTATGCACTAACCCTTATATTTTTCTCATGCTCTACTTATTCTACTCTTTACTCACTTTACCACACCATTCCAGGCACATACTGCACATATAATTATGAAGGCTTTTTTAACGGATGGATAGAATGGAATGATAAAATGGGTTAATGAGGTAATAGAATGATAATTACCCCAGCAATCAATGTAATTTAAATTTTTTTTTTTTTCTTTTTTTTTTTCATTTTACTATGAAGCTATGCAAATGTCATACATTTTGAAATCTGTTGAAATGTCCACTTTTATGAAAAATATTACGGAGCGTCACAGAAGATTGATGAATTTATATTTAAATTAGGTTTACATTTTATTGTGCAATAACTGTTGCATTTTTTTTTATTAAAAATTTCTGTTAAACACCTTAATATTTTGCATAAAAGTTCTTATATGCATGTTGAACAAGAATTCAACCTTTGTTTACTGCAGTTGATGAAACTTCCATAATTTAGCTCTTTACAAGCTGAAATGTTGTTTTTGCACCTCTAGTGTCACCAAATGGATTTGTAATGATAAATAATGATCATTTTCATGCAGGTTTCCTGAACACTCTACCCATCTGCTATTAGTAGGACAAACAGATAGTCCATCCCCAGATTCAGTGTTTCGGTCTTGGCATGGTTGTCAAACTCAAACAAACAGAACAATATTTTGATAGTGTTGCAGAGCCACAGTATTTAGGCTTTATGGGGAAATTAAGCTACAACTGGCATTGTCGACTCTACATATTAATGACACACTTCAGCTTTAAAGATCAGGCAAAACCTTTCCTTTCAATTCAATTTCTCATCAGGAAACATAAGAAGAATAGCATTTGATGGTTCCATTCAACCTGTTGCAGAGAGATGTTTTTGGGACAGCATTCACATCCTATAATGACTGTTAAACAATCTGACTCACGTCTGAGCGGTTGATATGAATAGCTTGAATAAAATACCAGACATGGATTTGACATAGCCTCTCTGTTCCTTCAAAAGGCCAAACTCTGGCCATCCGCACCACTTTGAATCCAGGAAACACTATTGACACATGCTACCTGTTTGTTTGTGTATGTGTGTGCGGTTTACGAGGCCGAGGATGGTCCATGTGTGCCTCGTGAGCTGCGAGATAGCACATCCCCGACAGGAGCTGTCAATAGCCATTCACTGAGAGAACTTGCCTTCATCTGCTCTTGAAATTACAGAGCGCAACTCTCACGGGGGTTCAGCACTCGCTGACCCCAGTCTTGTTGGGAGAAACAATGAAACAATGACTGCAATCAGCTATTCCCTCCAGTATCTGTGTTAGTCCCCCAGACTATGTAATGCTCCTCTATCACTCCTGCACCTGCGCTAATAGCTCAGTGCGCCAATGACTCCAAATTTAGATGGAGAGGTTATTGAATGCCTCTGTTTGCCTCGCTTGACCTCTGCAGAGAAGTGGTGTTTTTTTTTATTTTCCTGCAGGTGACCCCTTTGTTGAAGGATTGCGGCCAGGATTTGAAGGGCAGCTAGTTGCTTTGTTTGTTGTTGTTTATCCATCACTGAACAAGCCCTTGTGTTTTAACATAGCTACGACAATACACCTCTTATCCTTCCTTAACCGTATCCTTCTCACGGCTTCTCCAAGCATTCGCGAGAGCAGTATGAGAAGCTCTCCACCATGCACAAGAATATGCAGAAGCTCTACGAGAGCCTAGGGAGCTACTTCGCCTTCGACCCCCACACCGTCAGCATCGAGGACTTCTTCGGCGACCTGGCTAACTTCCGCAACCTCTTCATGGTGAGTACAGCAGCACTGTCACCTATTTATCCTCAGAAGAATGTTTTTATTATTTTGCTCTTTGCACTCCTCGAGGTTGAAGAGAGTCGAATATTCTGTTCTTTCTCTAATGTGTATAAATCTGACTTTCCAAAAGAGTCCTCGAGAGCAGGTGCAGATAATATTCTAGTTAATACTTTCAATGCTTTCTCCACAGCTAGACAGAACAGGTCAGGGTTGCTGGATAGCAGTATGATTAAGTTTAGGATTGCTTTGGCAGCTTATATCACTTGGAATGTGAGAGTGCAATTCTCTTTCTAACTTCATCACTTTCTCTTCTTTATATATATACACAGTTTTTATCAGTACATAGTTTAACGTGAGAGCATACTACTCCAAACTAAAGCTGCTGGCCTTGTCTTAAGTGCATGTGGTGATTTAACTTATTTTATCACATTTGATAAAGACATTTTCCTCACAGGGGTGAGGAGATGGAAGGACGGGCTTACTGGGCAGATTAAAGCATACATAAACTGTGCTGAGAATGGAATGTATAATGTATTACCCAACGTGTGGCTCCTATGCAGATAAAAGAGTCTCAGAAGCTTCTTATCCTTTCAGAGTTTCATTAGCTTCTGTATGTGGCGGATATCAAGGCAACGCCTCCTCCCTGTAACCAAAAAAAAAAAAAACCCTGCTTGGGGTTTAGGCAGGTAGGACTAGGTTATTGCTGATAGGATAGGATGGGATTTATCCAGACTGAGTGTGAAACCAAATGAGGCGTTTCAAGTACATCTCACTATACTAAGAAGATATGAGATTTTCAGCTAATTGATTTTTTTAGATACTTAGAGCCTGACTTGTATTTGCTTCTTATAATCTATATGGGTTTTAGGGATTATACAAATGAAACTTTATGAAAACTTTTATGCAGAATATTAATAAGCTTTATAGAAAATGATTCTTGAATTGTGGGTGTAAAATTGTTATTTCTATTTGTTATTTAATTATACATATTTTTGCATAAAATTCATACATTTTAAAAAGAGTGTTTAAAACTTGTATGTAAAATATTTATTTTAATATACATATTTTATAATACTTTAATATTGATCTTTCATAATAATTAATATTATAGCTATTCATATTTTACTAATTTTAATAACCGGTTTGACTCAGAAATTGCCAATAAATTGGTAAATAGTGACATTTTGAAGTTTTTTATTTTATTTTTTTTTACTTGTCCACTATGATTTTTTATCTTCACTGTGGTAAGGGCACCCTGGGATTGGGATAATTTAGATTTTTAAATGGAACCTTAATATGGGCTTGAGGAGGAGAGCAGAACGCTTCAACACAAAACAGTCTCTGGAGATTTTTTACACATATATGTAAATGTTTCTCTTGCATCTGCCTATATTTCAGCTCCCTTCCAGCAAAAAAAAAAAAAAATTTAATAAAATAAAAATAATTATGCAAATGGAGTAAAAACAGTATTATTAACGTATACATTTAATAAAATAAAAATAAAAAAATAAAATGGGATAACATGATGTCCAGAAGGTATGCTCAAAGTCTTCAAAACCCATTACAGTGAATGGCAAGGTCTCCTTGTCTGTGGCTTCTCGCTCACCCCTCTCTCGCAAGCACATCTAAAAACCAACTTTCATTCGCCCTGATCAAAGTCTAGCAACACGACACAGCTCTCCCTCCAGGATGCAGCATTGAACTGCTGTAAAAGGGGCATCTATGAAAATAAATTATTCTCTCAAGCGAATAGCTCTTTATGAATAGTTATCTCTGATTTAGACTTGAATGCTGGGACGAGCAGAGTTGGTGGAGAACACAAACATGGTTGGATGTCCAGTGGCCAATTTCTTTCTTTCTTTCTTTCTTTCTTTCTTTCTTTCTTGTCAAAAAGCCAGATACATTAGTAAGAGCTGAGGTCTGGTAAGATTATATTGTGTCGTGATAAACTGACGAGCAATAAAAGTTGTTGGCTATAACCGGCCAGGCAAGAACATTTTGTCACTCGCTTGGTTTTGCTGGGAAGCCCGTTCGGCACCATTGGTCCAAAATCCTGCAGCTCATAACTGTACAATAAACCTCAAATATGGCCAGATTCATTAAATTGCTTGTCGCATTACGTCCCATTATGACATGATGTTAACCGCATATTTGCAAATGTACTTTGTTACTCTTTGCCAAAGAGAAAGGTTATTAAATAAATTTATATTCATGATAGAGCCCTCCACATAATGTATGTTCCACCATAGCATATTTATGGCACCTCATAGTTTTATCAACATTTATCCACAGAAATGACCCACATTGCTGTATTTTAAATTGCCTGAGTGACACATCCATTTGGTAGGACAAAAAAAGCCCCGCCTGCCAGTTCTCATGAAGCGCTCACACTCAGATAAGAGAATCCATTAGCTATATTTCTATTCAGGGTCAATAGAAATTAAATTTGATTTCAGCACATGAAGTTTTTCAGATCGTTCCATCAATTTATCCAGTACACTGCCAGATTTGAACTAGAGAGAGAGAGAAACTCCCACTGCGTCGTCTTCTTCTGTATGTAATCCTGACTAGCGGCTGTGGATGAATATCAGTATATTAATGCCTTATCAGAGCGCAGCAGATGGTGATGAACTAACAGTCTCACTTGTTAATTGAGTGAGCCACTGATTACACCAATAAAGTCAGCAGAGGTTGAGCCACAGTGATGGTGCACGACGAGCGTGACTCAGCTTATCAATAGAGCGCACATGTGTGCATTAGTGAGCGTGCATATCTGTCTGAATACGTGCTGCTTGCACAAAACAGTTATCGAGGGCCATTGGCTTTATCTATTATGTCAGCTCTGGAAACAATGATAATGACGATGCTAGTAATGGAGATTGTGATGTAGTGTGATGTCATCACTGCTGCTTTTTCATTTCCACCACACAGCTACTGCGAGTGATCGCAATTAAACCCAATGGAGTGTCCCTTCAGATTAGTCTAATATTTGAGTCAACACATACAACATCGGCCACTTTTCACTCTTGGCAATTTTGTAGGCCTCTCACAGCCTGTTGAAAACTAATGGGGGATATGATCCAATAAATAAATAAATAACTCAAATATCATCAAATGTGGTTCAGTTCGTGTACATTTTGTGTTGGCCAAATAGGCCCATCTGTGGTGTGGATTTTTGTCCTCCATTTCTCTCGCTCTCTTTCTTTCCGTTTCCGGAAGGAAGCCAAGTGTGTATGCATTGCATGTAGGGCAGTACATATATGATGGTTCCAACCAAAAAAAACACTGAATATGAATTATAGAACCCCTGACAGTGGGATGAGCCACCCTTTTTTGTCCATATGCGTAAGACAAGGCTATTCAGATATTCTATTCTGAAGCTGGGCAAACAGGAGAGACTACCAAGCCACCCCCACAATGTAGGATTGCAGCAAGAGCGCGCTTCCTTAGTGTCACTCCGCTGCACATGTACCCAGCGAATATATTTACAAAGACATCTAGTCCTCAGTGGCTGCCTGGAAGGACACCATCCTATCCTGTGCTTGCCAGCATGCATAAACACACCCGTGGTAGATGGAGTCCATATTGGCAAATTCAATTCCGCAGCAATCCTTCTCCTAGAGTAGTGCAAACACTACTGTGGTGTGCGTTGCCCTACCAATCTAGAGATTGCACAACAGCGTTTTTCCATAAAATGCTTTTCCCAGGTGGTTTTGTCGTGTTGATTGGTGTTAGAAGTAAATTGCTTGTTTATCATCGTCTTTCGTATTAGCAGATCTAGTTGGTGATTCATCCAACTGAAAATTTGATCAAATCCTCCCACATTTTCCTCACTCAAGATGGATGTATTTATAAATTGTTAATATTTTGTGTGTGTTTGATTTTATTAATACTAATCCTTCTACTAACTTAAGGTTTTAAAAAGATAATTCACCCAAATATGAAAACTCACCCTCATGTCGTTCCAAACCTGCATGACTTTACTTTCTTCTGCGGAATACAAAAGAATAACTCTTTTTGTCCAGACAATTAAAGTCAGTGGTGTTTTTTTTTGTTTTGGTTCCACAAAATAAAGTCATACAGGTTTGAACAGACATGAGTGTGAATAAATATTTTTTTGCTACATCGTCCTTTTAAAGACAATTGATATCCCGTGGTAACTAGGATTTACACAAGCTTCAGTCTGGATCCAGAACACCTGAGAAGAGATGATGCCAACCCCTCAGAGGACGTCAGATGATGCCAACCCTGAAACAACATACAGAACTACCACATTTTGCTATAAGTTTGATTGCATCATATAATAATTGCTGTTAATGGTGTTCATCGTCTGTTTGATTACATCTTTAATTGATTTTTCTGTACATTTCTGCCATATGTACATTAACTGACAGTCACCACTGATAAGCTACCACTAAATATTGTAGAAACTTAATTTGCTGTAAAGTTGCTTTGCAACGATTTGTATCGTGAAAAGCGCTATACAAATAAACTTGAATTGAATTGAATTGAATTTAAAGACAGATTGAGTGCTATCTCTCTCATTTTTAAATAACCCATCCTGAGTACTCTAATTAACCAAACGAGTTTTAAGGAAGATTTTTTCCCCTGTAATCAGCTTTCTTAATGACTTTGGATTATTTAGTGTGCAAACACAATTAGCTGGCCTAATTTGCCTTAACATATTGATTGGTGGCCACCACTGACAACCACATGACTTCCTGTGGATTTCAATCCTCTCTGTTTACTTCTATCTATCTTTTTTTTTTTTAACTAACCTTTACCTTTCGTTTGTATAGAGCGTATCTGCAGCCATGAGATATCAGCTTTCCTTGACAGGGAGGACCGATGGGGATGCGATTTGAATTTGCAACAGTCAGAGGCACTGTGACCATGAGAAACAAATTTCCGTGAGTCCGTGCAGCTCGGATGAATGCTCTTCAGGGCCGTCCGTGAGCGAGAACATGATCATGGTCTAAATTGTGTATTTGATTCTCTTAAGCAAACATACATGCTGCATGTAGAAACAGCAAATCGCACACATCCCACCATCATTCTTGCTTTATGCTAATGCGATTAATCCTTTGTAGTCAATAGCGGGATCGTTTTGAGCTATGAGAATGATATTCAAAAGCACTCCCTCTGGGTGTTGTTTATCTCATGTAAAGCTTCCGAATACCTAAAACACAATTAAGAAAATTGATAAAATCATAAATACTGCCCTAGGCTAATTGGGATCAAGAAAAGGGTTGAAAACATGTTTGTTGCCATGATAATTAGGGTTTTTGCATGTTTGATGAGAGTAAGATAATTATGTTGTGTAATCGTGTTTGCAGTCAGAATTGTTTGTTTATTTATAAAAAAATTTGCCAGCAGGAATTATTTTTGTCGCTATGAATAAATGATTTTTCAATTAAGGATCCAACGCTTGACAATGAGTTTGATGCTATCTCCAATTACAAGACTGAGATTGAACTGTCAGTTTTGGAGACCCATAATCCAGTGGCTTCATAATGCTCTATTTGAAAATACGAAATCACAATAACAGGAAGAATTGTTTATGCTAATGTTTGTTGTCACTCTGTGTCATGAATATAGAATTCCTTTTCACACTTTTTGAAGGACAGCCATATGCATGCCGACTCAATTACTTTTTATTAGAACAAGTATTGTGTTTATTCATTGCTGACTTATAGTTTTGCAGCATAATGCAAATTTGGAACAGGTGGATCTCTCTCTCTCTCATATGTTCATCCTTGTCCTTGTCATCTCAAGAAAAGACAGTGAGCGTGTGGATTGTGGGTCCCTGTTCTCGGGTTTGACGGCAGATCCGCTATTGACCACCATGATAGCTGTACTTTTCTCCTCCCACACTGGAGCCATGATCCTTGTGTCTCAACACCAAACACGACACGCAATTCGGAAACCCTAAGGGAGTCTGAAAGGGCCAGACTGTCGACACTCATTATATCATACCAAGAAAGAACAAGACACACACATATACGTATACACAAAACACTCATTCCTGCTTTTAAGGCAAGGCCTGTCAGGTTAGTGGTGCAGGCCTGGGGTGAAGAGACCTTTGCTGTGCTGGAAAGGTTATGAAGAAGTGGCTTATTCTCTCTTCTCTGCTGTGTCTCCGTGCCCTCTGAGCATCTCTGTCCAGCTCTCTCGTCGTCTTCATACCGCCAGACACCTCTGTGGCATTTACAGAAGAAGAGAGGAGGACGATGATATCTCTGCGTCTCTGTATACAGGCTTCTCTCCCACTCGCTGATGCCCCGCCAGCATTGCCGCCGCAACATCCTGGCATTCAGTCACTGAAAATATGCTGGATGGACGCTGTGTTATCTGCTTCCACATTAATGCGTATGGAGATTGTTGCTCAGTGGGGACAACGGCAGTATCAGGAGCCATCTTGATGTTCAATTATACAATGTCTGTCTGCTTCCTTTTCTCAACACTCATTGTTTCTTTCGATGGAAGCAGAAAGGCTGCAACTGTGTCCCTTTAACTCAAGAGCAGATAAGCAGGCGCAGATGAAATCTGGGAACTTTCTTTTCAATTTCCTTGCAGATTTGGGAATTTAGGAAGGAATTTAAACTTGGTAAAATGAAGTTGAGAGTGAAGTTCCTGACGTTTTTGTATTGTAATTTATTTATTATTATTATTCTTTTTTTATTTATTTATTTCATTCATTGTATTTATTTATTTTTTCATTTTTCTAGCAAATACTTTCCACTATAATGTATCAAATGATGTGTTGTTTTCATGTTAAAATGTAAGGCATCCTCCTCAGGCATTTTCCCTTTTATAAATAATCTGAATTCTGTGGAGTTCAGCAAGTGTAGATTCAGTGTGTGCCTGCAGCTAAGCATTGTCCTCAGTGTGTATCGACTCACCATTATTACTAGTGCTGTCTATACTGTTTGTTCAGTGATAGAATTGTGCTGGAATTTTCCTTCTTTTCCTCTCTACTCAATTACCCTCTGATTTCATTGTCTCTCTCTCTCTCTGACACTTCAGGATGCTATGCGGGCGAACCGCAAGAAGAGGGAGATGGAGGAGAAGATCAAGAGAGCCAAGCTGGCAAAGGAGAAAGCTGAGCGAGAGAAACTAGAGCGACAGCAAAAGAAGAAACAGCTGATTGACATGAACAAAGGTACGGCGCTACTGCCCCGCCAGGGCCCGACTGCAGCGATTTCACATGGTGCTAAGCACTGCAGGGGTGGTCATGGTGATGATGATGGAGGAACAGGGCCACACTTCATCTGTGAAAAATCTCACTCTTCTCCGCCTGTTCGCTCGCACTAAATGTACAGGTACATTAGATGTGGCTGAGAATGTTTTAATGAAAAGTCGAGATGGTCCTCACTGCAGAACACAAGATCAAGGGGGCGTGGTTGGATCCAGATCCAACTCCTCCCACCTTACATATACCTAAACCTACCAATCTCCACCCCCTAGATGTGGATTCAACCACGCCCCCTGGATCTTGTGTTCTGCAGTGAGGGGCTACTGGAAAAGTCTTTATTTAGTAACTGTGTCACAGTGACAGGAATATGAAGTAAATGTAAATGTTGACGACAATGATGGTAATTACAATGCCAGACACAACAGTGTGAAATCGAGCTAGAACCAAAGGGATTTCAGCAGCGATAACCATTACAGCTGTTACGAGAAAGTATAAAATAAATCAATTATGTAGATGAAGGTGTAGTGCAACTCGGCAGCAGTATAAGGCTGTGCTAACAGGCCCCTGCCAGAGAAGATGTAGGTCACATGTAAAGATAAGCATCTCAGTTTCACTGCTTTTGTAGAGCAGACAGATAATGGATTGGCAGATTGCCTTTGGCCTAGTAAATGGAGTTGAGAGTTAACTATTACGTTTTTGCAAGCTTGCTCAGCTTATTTCTAAAATGAAAAGAAGCCATGTCAACAATAGCTTAATTCAGTTTAGATTACAGCAAAACTGGTTGGATATGAAGAACAAATTGTTCTCTGTCCACCATATTTCAATATGTATGTGCGTATAAACCTGGTAAATTGTGTGTTTTGAAAGGAAATGTGTGGTTTAGTTTAAAAAAGAAAGATAGAAAAAAAACTACAGTGTCAAGATGTCTCACGCAGCTTGCAAATTCAGGGCAAATTCTTGCCATGAGAGATATGAAGTACTTACTGCACTGCACTATTCTAATCCTTACAATGAGACAGAAATTCCTGCCTCTGGCCAAAAGCCTTTTTCACAAGCTCCAACTTAAAATGTCACACTGAGCCCAGCACTTTACTGCGGCCTTACATTTGAGAAAATGACATGCAGAACTTCGTCTCTGTGTGCTTCCGCAGGACGACTGATACATGCTAGTTTCCTAAGAAGTGACCGCATTGAATGCTGAGCTCGTAATAATGCAGATGGAAAGAGAGTGGATAACAAACCCTCTAGTGCAGTCAAGAATACCTTATCTTTAGTTAGCTCTTTCTTTCTGTCAGAGCCTATAAAAAGACTTTTATCATTGAATTGCTTTAGTCATCACTAGATTTAAAGAGAGAATGTCAGCGAGTTCCATTGTGCATTTGGCTCTGTAGACATTCAGGTGCATTATATAATGATTAACAGATCAGCCTTTCTTTTGCGTTCAAATATGAATATGAAACTATAGTACTGTTCTATCTTTGGGGTTGGTAAGATGATATCTAATGTTTTTTTTTTTTTAATAAGTCTCTTATGCTCACCAAGGCTGCATTTATTTGATCAAAAATGCTGTAAAACAGTAATATTGTGAAATATTGTTACAATTTAACGTAACTGTTTTCTATATATATTTACATATTTATTTTCTAATGTATTTTAAAATGTAATTTATTTATTCAGTTGATAGCAAAGCTGAATTTTCAGTGGTCATTATTCCAGTCTTCAGTGTCACATGCTCCTTCAGAAATCATTCTGATATGCAGAGTTGTTGTTCAAAAATAATTTCTTAGTATTATTAATGTTGTAAACCATTGTGCAGCCTAATATTTTAATCAAAACCGTTCTTTGATGAATAGAAAGTTCAAAAGATAAGCAGTGTAAACATCTTTACTGTCACTTTTCTTCAGTTCAATGCATCCTTGCTGCCCCAAACTTTTGGACAGTAGTGTATGACTATATAATTGTCATGAAATTATTACAGTATGATGTCTGTTAAGCATTATATAAATGCATATTTATGCATATGTACGCTATTAAGGCAAGTTGTTAGAAATTCCTGCTGGCTCTTGAATTAGACCATATTCCTTGTTTGGCTATATTCTGTAAACTTTCCATCTTGCCAGCATCTGTCTGTTATTCCCTTAAACCTGATGAATGCAGATCTCACCTGCTGTTTTTGATCACCTACAGAAAGAAAATGAGCATATTCTTTGCACAAATTAGCATGTTCTTTGAAATTATTTATTTTTCAGTAAACATGTTTTCTAAAGTTCCACAAGGGAAAAATAATATAATGATTTGTGTCTGTTTTTATATATATATATATATATATATATATATATATAGCGGAACTACTTCCTTCCGCCACGGATTCAAAGCTCAAGTTGACAGTTAAACATAGGTCACTTTTAGAATTCGTATCAAGGGCATGTGCTGCTTCAGATAGGTTATTAGTGAGAAATAATGAGGTTATAAGAGAGAAACAATGC